TTATAGCCGTCATGTTAATAGAAAACCTTTCAATATCTCATGTTCTATCATGATACATTTGTAACTAATAATTAGGCAAAACATAATATTTCAAAAAGATTTCAAGAGAATGACCGTTAAATCGTTACAAAACAAATTTTACTCTGTGCGGAAATATTCTGTTTTTGAACAACACTAGAAAATTGCAAGGACAAAATCGTTAACCACACAATTTGACTGCTAAATGTTATCTTACTAACGAATATTCAGCAACATGATTATAACAAAAGCAATACAGATTACCTCTATGCCATTGAGCATTCGAAGATGGTTGTACAACACATACATCCACGCGTCGTTCCGTTCGTGTTGCACCCATATTGCTGCCGTCCACTTGACTGGCACTCCTTATGCACCGGAGCGTGATGTGACCAGGCTTGCCACATTTGAAGCACACCAGAGACTTCACTGCAGGCTGCAATGCCGAGCCTGTCATCGAAGGTCGTTCCACACTGTCATTTACCTTGCTTCTACACTCTGACCGCTTATGACTCACTTTTCTGCACTTATGACATTTTAACATTAGCTTGGATCGTTTAGCATCAGGCACTTTTGAAAAATCATCAGATAAACTAGCTTTGCGTTTCAAATGTGAGAATGCGTGCAATCCCTGCTGCAGTCGATCTCGCGAAGCAATTTTCGTAGTAAAGGCCAATCGTTGTAATTTCGAATTAAATCGCAATTGCTATCTGATTCTTGCTAGCGTCTTTCCAACGACGATTAGTCAGTGACGTCATCAGGCGATTTGCGTACGTAAACGAGTTTCTTTTTTCATTTGGTTTGTCACTGTTAAAATTAATTAGCGTACCAGCCAATGTCTCGGTGGAAATAAATCTCGCCTTGAAAAATCACCTTGAACTCTTCCCATGTTATTCTCTGGTATACAAATTGTGATAGCCACGTCGACCCTTATCCTTTTAATTTCTTACTGACTTAAACCAAGCTGGCCGCCGTATGGAGGGTATTTGGCAAAACACAAATCTGCAGTCGCAAACAAAGATCTTGCGTCCGTATCCATATTGTCAGGGTTCAAAACTCGTGTAACCTGACGTTCTTCATCATCCGAGGCATTTGCATGGCCTCGATAAGAGATCACATACTGACATTTTGTTGTTCAAACATAGCACGCCATTGTTCACTCACAGTTAGTTCTTTTTGCAATTGAACCAACACTGATCCCGCTTCTGATATCGAAGCAGCATTAATTTTCTCTATTATTTTCCATTATTTTATCATGAATTATACAGTGGGCGTTATATGGGAAGTGTTGGTTCAAATGAAAGTCGATGCAATCACAGTTGTATTTCAAATTAACAATAATCACTTTGTACATAGTTAAACAGCACTTCACTACACAACCATATACCACTTCACTATTACCACGTATAGACAATACGGAACGCAAGACAGTTCCTAGTGGAGCGGTCCTCTGCTTGGCTCGGCTCGAAGGCAAGTGTCCAGCCCTCTTAGCACCCCTCCCTTAGCTAGGCTCCGTCGTAGCACGAAGCTCGCCGAGTGTTGGCGATAATACCGAAGGTGCTGCCTCACTCAGGCGTCGTGCCGCGCTTCGTTTAGCGACCGTATTGATGACCGTCTCCGACATATATATATATATATATATATATTTATCAATTTGGTATTTCTTCGTTTCAGGTCATTCAGTTTTTGTAAAAAAGAAACTCGCAGACATTTGTAGTGTCATGCTTAGATTGTTACTGTTATTTGTTGTAGTTGTAGATAAATTACGTTTCTTTTTATGAAAAAATTGATCGTGTTTTATGCTCTAAATTTAGAAAACGAATTTTACATTTTTATGTATTTGCCGTTATAAAAATTTAAAAGCAAATTATTAGCAAGCAATATTATAAATGCGAAAGCTTATAAGAATGGGTGTATGGTAGTATGAAAGAATTTTTGTTACTCTTACACCAAAAATTATTGAATCGATTTTGATGAAACTTTACAATAATATAACACATACATGAGGGATTACTCTGATGTATGAGCTATATTATTGTAAAGTGTTATCGAAATCAATTCAGTAGTTTTAAGGTGAATTGTATTGTTATATAGTTATTGTATAAGTAAGGTATAATCAGTAAAAATATATGAAACAAATGGCACATGTAGCAGAGGCGATGAGATAGTGAGATACATAAGTAGATAAAAATGCCTGAAAAATAAAATTGACAGTTCCAGAAACCCCTTGAAACATGCGCGTCTTGCGTCAGCACTAGGGAGTACAACTTTTTATAGCACGGTATAAATCATCTTCAGATGATATCGGTGAAAAAGTTTTAGGCCCGAAAAAATACGGCTCCGGACGAATTAAGTCATGGACACAGGAAATTACAATGTAATACTGAATCGTAAAATAATTTTATGTTATATTTTATGACTTTTATCACTTTTGTGACATTTTTTTCTTAATTTGTCTCTTTTATTCTTTGAACGCTTGCAATGTTGTGTGTTTATTTTTTACTCGATGCTGTCGGTTTTTTTTTACAATACGCGGATTCATCTAAAATCCGGATTAAATTGGCCATATATATTTACTTTCAATAAAATCGTCAAAATAAACAAGAGCATTCCGATTTCATGAGCGTACTACTAGTATCCCAGTGGTAACGTACTGTCTTGAAAATCCAAGTAAAGCGAGTTCGAATCCGAGTCTTCACTTCTGTTATTTTATGCGCGAATCATTTCCAACATGATTACCTTTTTTACCAAATTACATTTAAGCTGAAGGAAAATATTGTGAGGAAACCTGAACCTATATCTGAGAGAATCTAACTTCAAAAGATATGTGAAGTCTGCCAATGGCCATTTTGGTGGACTATAACCTGATCGCCTCGTATTAAATAAAAATCGGCGCCTAGTGATGGGACGTTAAAAGGGCTGAATTACTTATGTTATGTGTTATGCTATATCTTTCCTTCAGTCAATGAGCCATAGAGACTTAACAAATCTATAAAGTGTAGGTACTATTATGTCACATAATACAGATCTGCAACGAGCGGTGAACCTCAGTTTTCTCTCTGGTCCATGCGCAACTCTACAATTAACACTACAATCAGTGGAGAGCACCGCAGCAAATTCACTGAGCGGTTGACAAATTATAGGCAAAGCTAGAGTGTGGTTTGTAATGTAATGTATATACAATAATACATACTATGTGCTATATAGTTAGTAAGAAGTATGTTAATATATATAAATAGATGTGTGTACGTATGTTCTCTATAGACTTTAAAACGGCTGGAACGACCGGTTGTAAGTATAAACGCAGGCAAGGCCAGGTTGCTAGTATATTATATTTTTATTCTTGTCACTTTAGTGGGCTCAAATTATTTTAATACGGAAATCAAAATTCTAAAAAAAAAATCTATACTCATAATATATTTTTATCCGATCAGTCAAACGAATATGTATATTATATAATGTAATGTTGCTAATGTTACATTATTATTTATCTGTGTTTGGCTTTTGAAAATTTAAATGATTTAGCTGAAAATGGTAATAAACATATAATAATACTAGGAACAAAATTATCAAATTTATATGTGATACTTTCTATTTAGTAGGAAATATCAAGTCAGCACTGTTCACTTACATTGTAATACGTACATGACACAGTATTCCAGAGTAGGTTTTTATTACTGGAGTTAAAAAGATGATAGACCTTTGTAAGAAAAAAGTTAGTAAAAAGTTAGCGGTTGTAGGATCTTTGTGTTCACCTCTAGTTTAATAAAATGTTAAATAAAATTTATACCAAAACGTATCAGAGTCAGATCTTCTTAGAATTAACGCATTTATATTGGGCACTGGTAATAAAGCCTTAACTTTATATTGCACTAGTGTAGTGGGATTAAGTATAGCATAGTATAAATATTAAGGACAGTATTGTGACGGAGGAGTAGAATAAAGAACCTTATCGGGAGCGGTTGTGTTTCATTACATCATCCCCGCTCCCCGCATCATTGCATGGCGACCCTGCCTTGCCGTGGCGTGGGCGAGTGTCGGGTGACCGGCGAATCTCGCAACGCAGCGGATTCCTGTGTGCCATATATTAAAGAAAAATAATTAACGTTTAACTAACAATGGGGAAATATTATTCTAAAAATGAAGATAAGGAGATATTGATTAACCAAAATGCAGTCGGTAGTAACGGTGCTGTACTCGCAGAAACAAATCTACAAACACATATGCTGACCAACAACATCCTAATTGCAGTGGTCTTGGTACTGTTCGTTGTTTTTTCAATATATTTTGGGTGTAAAGCATGGCGTAAGAAGGAGAGAAAATGGATAGAAAAGAGGATGCAAACAGAATTTGTTAGAAGGACCCGTCAAAGGCTTTCCGGGAAGTCCAATGCTGCAAATGCTGCTGGGAGTGATGCTGTTTAATAAGGCAAAGCTGCTAGTGCTGGCTGGTGTTCGGCCGCGCACCTACTTTAGTGAAAGTGAAATGTGAAAAATAAGTGTAAAAAAGTGCATCAACCCCCCCAAAACCCCCACATCATTATTTTTTTTTTATTACTATCTCTTGTCCCTCTTCGTGCGTAAATATGAAAATTTATGAACTATAACATAATATGAACTTTATGAACTGTAGTATATAGTGTAACTTTATAATATATGAATTTTAACAACTATAATATTTAGTGTATGTATAGAGTTATGTATGGAAAAAGATTTAGAATTTATATTAAATAAGTAATTGAAATTCAAATAGATTTAAGAAAGTTGGGCCCTACTAGAAGATTAAAATATAAAGGTAATGTTAATAATAAGATTTTAGAAGCTAAAAAATTATTTTTAACATATAAAGATATTATTAATATTATTGCTAAGCAAGACATTAAAGTAGAGTTAAAAGATTATATGTTCGAAGTATTAAGGGAACGTATTGAGTGCATATATGATAAAATATTGACATATAAATTTAATTATCAGGGTAGCACAATGGATAAATTCGATATTAAAACGGCAACCTCTTTGATCCCCGTAATGGATAATACGGAGGAAATTACTGAAAATATTATTAACGGAATTGAGATGTACAATGAATATCTTGTAGATGTTACTCAGAAAAAATTACTCATCTCTTTTGTTTTAAAAACCAGGTTATCTAAGTCTGCTAAATTAAAGCTAAAGAGCGAATATGATGACGTGACGAGTTTAATACAAGACATTAGAAAGTTTTTACTAACAAAAAAATCTGCAAATTCGATACTAACACAATTAAATAATTTATCGCAAAATAACATGTCCATTCACGAATTCGGTGATAAATTGTCTGAGTTATTTGTAAGCCTCACTATTGCACAAAGCGACGGAAATCCGAAGTCTTGTGAGATATTGAGACCTATAAATGAAAAACTTGCAGTTAAAAGGTTTGCAGACGGATTACGCAATAGGAGACTGAGCACAATTATATCGGCACGAGACTACTCAAGCCTGAAGGACGCAGTACGTGCTGCTGAGGATGAGGAGCTGGGACAGCCTTCGTTGTCCAACAACATCTTCAACGCACAAAGGAGAGGTAACCAATTCCCATATTATAGGTCTTCACTAAGAGGTAGAGGTGGACAAATGACTTCTAGAGGTAATTTTTATTCAAATCGCGAATTCCGTCCTCAATTGCAACAGACGACGCTACGAAATTACAACAACTTCAACAATTATATGAAAGGTAAATACGTAAAAAATAATTATAATCGAGGATATAATAATACTCGATCGACGCGAGGTTATCGTGGTAATTTTGTGAGTTCGAGTCGTGTTCGAGGTAACACTAGTAGTGGTAATCACAATCGGCGAAATATTTGTACCGCACATGTCGAAACTACAAATGAGGATAAAACTACCGAACGGAATCAGTTTTTTCGGTCCTAAAAATTATATTTTAACTTGCGACGATAATGTAAAATATGTGTATTTAAATTTAGATAATCAAAAATGTTCATGGTTGCTAGACACAGGTGCTTCATTATCGGCAATTCGTAGTAACATCTTATCGGAACGTATACCGATACATAGAGACCCTATAGTTATAAACGGTATAGGTGGCAGGACATATTCAGATGGCTATGTTTATTTAACTCTACAGGCATCAGACGGTACTACTTATGAGCACAAGTTTTACTTGTTTAAGAACTTACCTTGTAAGTCAGATGGTATAATTGGTTTAGATTTTCTGAATAATTTTAATTCAATTATCAATTTAGAAAAAAATATATTAACTTTAACCAATGAAAAACAAAATGAGATACCATTATATACTTCACCTAAACTATGTACTAAACATATTGCGATACCGGCACGGTGTGAAACTATTCATTATATAAAGTTAAATTCAGATGTGAAAGAAGACAGTGTGATTGTACAGAAAGAATTACAAGAAAACTTATTTTGGCTGGTTTGATAGTAAAACCTAAAAATAACATAATACCTATCAGATTAATGAATATCAGTGATAAGGAAATAATTATTCCAATTTTTCAACCCGAGTTATTACCATTAAGAGAGTATAATGTTTGTTTCTTTGATAAGTGTAATTCGAACTCTACACGTGCAAAAACTTTATTACAATCTTTGAAACTTGATCACTTAGGTACAAGCGAACGAAGCAATATAGAAAGTATTTGTTCAAAGTATGCTGACATATTTCATTTACCCGGTGATAAGCTAACTACTAATAATTTATGTGAACAATCAATTAATTTGAAACAAAATATAAATCCAGTTTATGTAAAGCCATATAGGTTACCACATAGTTTAAAAACAGAAGTAGACAAACAAATCAAACAAATGTTAGATGACGACATCATAGAACCTTCACAAAGTGAATGGTCCAGTCCTATATTATTAGTACCTAAAAAATCAGATGATAAAGATAACAAAAAGTGGAGATTAGTTATAGATTACCGAAAGTTAAATGAAGTTATACAGGATGATAAATTCCCATTACCAAATATTACCGAAATACTAGATTCACTATCAGGCGCAATTTATTATTCTCATTTAGACCTTAGCCAATCATATTATCAATGTTCTTTAAAGCCTGAATCCAGACCAATTACATCTTTCACAACTAGTACAGGTCAATATCAAATGAAACGTCTACCTATGGGACTAAAAATCAGTCCTAGTGCTTTCTCTAGAGTGATGTCAGTAGCCATGTCAGGCCTTAACTACATAAAATGTTTTATTTATTTAGACGATTGTATTGTTTTTGGACGAAACCTTGAATTACATAATAAAAATTTAATAGAAATATTCGAACGTTTACGTAAAGTCAATCTTAAATTGAATCCGAATAAATGTCAATTCTTAAAAACAGAACTATTATATTTGGGTCATACGATATCTTCTGAAGGAATTAAACCAGACTCAGAGAAAATCAAAGTTATTCAAAATTATCCAACACCGACAAACGTTGATGAGGTCAGACGTTTTGTCGCGATGTGTAACTACTATAGAAAGTTTATTAAAAATTTTGCTGATATAACTAATTGTTTGAATAAACTTTGTAGGAAAAATGTCAGATACGAATGGACTGAAGAATGCGAAAATTCATTTAAATTTTTGAAAAACGCTTTAACGACTCCACCCATTCTACAATACCCCGATTTTTCAAAAGAATTTATACTACAAACCGATGCTTCGGGAACAGCAATAGGTGCAGTGCTTTGTAATAGTAACATGAGGGCTATAGCCTATACTAGTAGACCTTTAAATAAAGCAGAATTAAACTATCCAACAATACAGAAGGAACTACTTGCCATAGTTTGGAGCGTTAAATATTTCAGACCATATCTATATGGACGTACCTTTACAATAATGACAGATCATAAACCTTTAATATACTTGTTTGGAATGAAAGATCCGTCAAGTAGACTTTTAAAATTCCGATTAGCACTAGAAGAATATGATTTTAAAATAGTATACGTGAAAGGGAAAGAAAATGTGATAGCAGATGCTTTATCGCGAATAAGCATAACGTCCCAAGAGTTAAAGGTAATGAATGAAAGATTAATGGCAGTAACAACGAGAGCGCAAGCTAGGAGAATGAGAGAGGCTGAAAGAGAGAATGAAAGAAAGAATGAAAGTGGAAATAAGGTGATAGACGATATCCCAAGTATTGACCAGAACGATTGCCCTGATCAACCAAAAGTAGTGGAAATACTTAGGATACCGAATAGAGCAGTTGAATTAAGTTTACTGGAAGGAGAAGAATTGAAAAAAATGAAAGAGAAAAAAATGATTGATGTTGAATCTGAATGTTTCGCATTTCGAAAAAATAAAAATATATTATATGTTAATCTCGATTTTAAAGCACATTATACGCGAGACGTTTTTGTGGAAAAATTGAGACAAATATGTGAAAAATTAAAAATTAAAGAAATATGTATCATAAAAAGAGAAGATAACACATTGTTTATCAAGAATCTTGTAGAAGAAATAAAAAAAATAAACAAGTGGTCCGGACCACGCATTTGTATTTTGAGAGGTATAAAAAGAATAGATAGTAACGAAGAAAAGGAATTTATTATGAATGACTATCATTGGCTTCCCACAAGCGGACACGCTGGGATTCGCAGAATGATAAATAACATAAAACGTAGATTCTACTGGCCAGGAATCGAAAATGATGTTAAGAGTTATGTTCGAAAATGTGAAAAATGTCAAAAGATGAAGTATTCTAGATATATTAAGGAACCTATGGTTATAACGACTACAGCAAGTTCTGCTTTAGAAAAAGTTTTTCTAGATATAGTCGGTCCGTTAGATAGAGACTTAGAAGATAATAAATATATATTAAGTATACAATGCGAGTTAAGTAAGTTTGTAGAGGCATATCCTCTTAAAAATAAGGAAACGGTAAGTATAGCTAAGAGTTTTGTGAATAATTTCATTTTAAGGTTTGGAATTCCAAAGGTCATCGCTACAGATCGTGGAACTGAATTTATGTCTGCTACAATGGAAGAGGTATGTAAATTACTTAACATAGAAAAATTAAGTTCGACAGCATATCATCATCAAAGTATTGGTTCACTTGAAAATGCACATAAACATCTAGGTTCATTTTTGCGCATACAGTGCGATAGCCATCCAGACACTTGGAGCCAATGGCTACCATTTTGGTGTTTTACATACAACAATACAGTTCATTCAAGTACGAAATATGCACCATACGAGTTAGTTTTCGGAAAACCTTGTGAAATGCCTAGTAGAATTTCTGCTGACATAGAACCATTGTATAATCTAGATAATTATAGTTTAGAATTAAAATATAGATTACAGGTAGCTAGCAGAGATGCAAGAGAAAACTTGTTAAAATGTAAAGAGAAAAGGAAACAAAAATATGATAAAAATGTAAATCAAATAAAATATAAACCAAATGATATGTTACTAGTAAAAAATGAGACAGGAAGTAAACTAGATACTTTGTATAATGGCCCGTATGTAGTTATTGAAGAGCAAGAACCTAATGTAAAAATTTTGAGAAATGGTAAAATTGAAATTATTCATAAAAATAGAACAAAGCCCTTTGTAAAAGATAAATAATATGTTTATATTCATAATTCACTTAATATTAAGAAAATCTATTAGAATATTGTTAAGTTTAATAAGCAGTTTTTTTTTTTTAAAACAGTAGCAGTATCTTTGTAGTTAGTACATAAGCATTAGATTGTAACTAAAAAAAAAAAAACATTTTTTTTTTTCTCTTTTACCCCGGTGGTGTAGTGGGATTAAGTATAGCATAGTATAAATATTAAGGACAGTATTGTGACGGAGGAGTAGAATAAAGAACCTTATCGGGAGCGGTTGTGTTTCATTACATCATCCCCGCTCCCCGCATCATTGCACTAGTATTGCCCGCGGCTTCGCCGGCGTTCAGATAACAAAAAACCAAATTCTTAGGTTTTACATATTACCTACTATATTTACGCTTAGAATGCATTTTTTGTATTTTTTCTCAGAAATGAGATATTTTTCCCGCGGTAAAAAGTATCCTATATGTTGACCCGGATAACCAGCTACCACCATACCAGATTTCATCGTAATCCCTTCAGTGGTTTTTCCGTGATACGGTAACAAACAGACAGACAGACAGACAAAAATTCTAAAATGTATCGATTCGGCCTCTGTATTGATAATAATATCTGTTTCAATAAGATTTTTCAAAAAATATTCAATGTACAGATTCGGCTTAGTTACAATTTTATTATATATATAGAAGTAGCGACTCACACGCACTCCACTTAGGTTCATCCCTAGTTACGTTTTAATGTTTAGTATAGATTTCTTAGAGATGAGATATTTTCCCGAAGTAAAAAGTATCTTATATGTTGAACCGGATAACGTAAAAAATTGTCCGGTGGTTTTCTCGTGATTCGTTCCTGGACAGACAGACAAAAATTTTAAAATCTATAGATTCAGCCTCTGTATTGATTATAATTATTATTTCAATAAGATTTTCCAAAAAAAAAACATTTAATGTATAGACTCGGCTCAGTTTTATTATATTATGTATAGATAATATTATTTCATATTTTATAAAAACTTTACATTATTTAGTTAAAATATTTGCACACATGAAACCTTTCCTATTTACTTTTAAAGATATAGTATACATAATGACTTAAGCTATTTATTGGCTATTTACTATCACGGACTTGCATCCTGATGTTTAATTTAAAATTAAAATTGACGATTCAAAAGTGCTTATAAAAGTCGATTTAAATAAAGTATATTTTGATTACATTTGAGTAGTAGATCTGATTCACTTTAAAATAACAAGTTAATATGAAAAATTCAAAATCATTCCAAGTATAGACAAAACAAAACAGCAGTGACGCCCAAACTTCACATATGTAAGTACCGAAAATGTTCACGTTAGAACAAATCGAAGGCCAAATCTCGTAGTTCTGCATTACAGGCCATTCTATCTACGTGTATAATTTGTAACTCTCCCTTCACTTCGCAAGCGTTTTTCCGCTTCGATCGATCGCAGATAAAAGTAATAAAGCGACCTACTGTCGTACAACTCTGACCACTACGGTGTGGTGCAATTGAAGAGAACTCAGAGGAGATGAGAGCGGAAAACTTTGCAAGCTCTAAAAATAAGGCTACCCACACACTAGGCAACAGTTGGTAACGGTGACCATGGTTACGGACGGATGTGGTTTTTAACCAAATTCCAAAAAGGAATAGGATATATTTTCGTCTGTCTTTATGTTTTTTACAGTTTTTCGAAATAAATACTATCAACATTACATTATTATATCCTTCAATGTTTAGTCGTTAGCATCCTGTTCACTCTACCTACGTCGCAAGGGATATAGCATGAAACTATGTGTGTATGTTTGTATGTAATTTATTTATATCGAATAAAACATATAATATATATGTGATATAACTAGAGTTGATTTCTGTTATTTTTTTTAAATCTGGCGAAATAAGCCGACATTAGTAACCACAAAATGGAATATGTCGGCTCTGGACGCTCTGTGTTTCACCACAGAAGAATATTATAAAACTTTGTCTGACCACCAGGAAATAATATAGCGTAAAGTGAATATACAATAAAGTGAATTCAAGATATAATGCCAATTGACTAGATTGCTGATTAATTGATCTTTTTACTTAAAAAAAAATATTGCCTACAATTTATTTAGTAATAGTATTCATTTCTTTTTAACCTGCCTTCAATACGAGGGGGATCAGGACATAGTCCACCACGCTGGCCAAGTGCGGGTTGGCGGACTTCACATGTTATTCGAAAACTTACTAGTTCTCTCAAACATGCAGGTTTCCTCACCATGCTTTTCTACATCGTAAGGCAAGTGGTAATCATGTTGGAAATGATTCCCACGTGAAAATATCAGAGGTGCGAGAGCCGACATTTGAACCCGCTTCGTTCGGTTACCCAAGCGAGCGCGTCACCACTGGGCTTACACTGCCTCTTTTTTATTTAATTTACATAATATAAATAAAATGATGATATATTCACAATTTATTTTGCGTTATATAAATATAAAATACGATTATAAAATATTTCTCATCTATAAAATTTTACCTGCCTGTTTATCGATTGTTTTAGTATATAGTCTACTTTTTGTAAGATAGTGTGAAAGCTTCGATATTATAAATATAATATTTTACACTGACACTGTTGAGGCTATTTTTAGTATATTTAAACTTGGTATGAATGGAAATAAAAGTTGAAATGAAATCGCTATCATGGGACTGTGCTGTCAGTATGGTATAAGTTACAACAGTAGAGAGATTAATATATGTATTTATAGTTTTTCATAAAGTAACAAATCGTTAGATCATGGTTTTTGACAAAAATAATTCACTTTATGTCGCTGTCGCCAATTCAAACTCAATTTTGAATAGAAAACTCAGTGTAGTGAAAAATTTTAAATGCAGATATCATAAGAAACACCCATGAGTGATGAGAACTGAGAAACCTTTATTTTCAACACCACATTTTGTTTTTGACTGAAAATACATATATCGGAAATCGAAGCTGTCGCAAGTTGTTCAATCGCTTGCTTAAATTACTTAAAGCAGACTTAAAAGTAAGTCTAACATAAAATATGTACATAAAATTCACTGTATATATAATTATCTTTTTGGCGTGAGTTGTGTGTCCACATGATTCGTGGGCTTGAATAAAGGGTAGTAAAACCATATATACACATATGTTTGTATATATATCGATATCTTTGTCACTTCCCATCCAGGAGAAGCAAGGAGAGAACTGACTAAAAATAGATAATTTTTCCAATTATGACATTTTCTTAAGCACCTACAGTTCGATAATCATGAATAAGCATATTTCGGAAACGCTTCCTCAGAATGCATCGTCACTTATACGTACGTGGGCGAGACTGCGATTTGTTCACTTTATATTAAAATGTCGTGACTGAGGATGACTCTGGAAGATAAACTTAAAAGTTTTCAAAAAAGCTTGACACTTAATATATTATAATATTTTAATTAATATTTATTGAGTCGCGTTTTTAAATTTTACTATAAAATAATATTTAACTAGAGATTTAGTAGTATTTCGATGAAGAATTAATTAACTATTGTATATTTCTGTTATGAAAATAAACATTTACATATAAAAATACTAAGATATTACTGTGCAGCATACAAGTAGGTACTTGTTGTCATCGAAGTTCTTATGAACGGGTAACTCTTCGAGCAACTCAACTGTGGTACAAGAGATAAGTGATATGCTTTTTTATAATTTGTTTTTTTTTTACTTATTCTTAGATATTTCCATATTTTTAGGAAACTATTACAAGAGGTTTTATTATTTGTATTGATTTTTATTATTTTTTTATTTTTGATTTAAGTATTAAAAGTTTTTATAGTGATTTTATAGTGCGTATTGGTGTGAAAGCCTGCCGTTTAATAAAACATTGTGTATTTTAATAATACAAGTAGATGGTGATATAATAGAGTTTTACTCTTTGAGTACGGAACCCTAAAAACAATATGACTGAAAAAATTATAACGAAGAAAGACACTATTTAAAAAAAACCATATGTTTTTATAAAACTTACATATTATTGAGCAAAAACAAAAGCCCAAAATATATTCCGAATTAGGGTCACCTAATTTGTTAGTATTTTTTGGACAGGCTTACTATTTTTAAAATCTAACCCTTCACCATCGTTAGATAGTAAAACATTTTCCTCTGGATATTGCATAGGTATCCCCCAGTTATTCTTGATGATTTTCCTCAAAACTGAGAAGAGTATTATAAATACTCATTATATCTTATAACAAACACCACACAAACTCGTATAAGTTCCGCCAAACAAAAGTAGTCGGTTTATTTCATTCGAGACGTCTTGTTTAGTTTGGATTTTACTTTAGCTTTAGATAACACGGTTAGCTTCTCCGGACTTTGGTTAATCTTCGCTTTGATTATAGCAGGACTATTTGCCACTGTCGTGTTACTTCACTTTTATGTACTATATAGTAGAAGAATAAAATGTAATAGTTTTAAGTAAAACTATGTTTTCGGATTATTTCAGTCTCTCCCGTGACCATGACTGCTGTGAAGCATTCGAAACGTCGGGAACCAAAAATCAAAATAAATCCGCGATATAATCTGAAAAGATAGTTTTACTTAAAATGTCAAATATTCGCGTAAATCTAAGAAAGTATTATACAATAGTTTTGTTGTAATCATTAATAAAAAAATTATTATATTAAGTTAGACTGAGAATATTGAACATCTTTTGTTAGGATAATACAAGAATAACCGGTACCACGACGGTGGTTGTAGGTTCGAAAATCTAAAATTTATATATTGTTTGATTCTACATAGACAAAACTTTGCGAATTCTTATTTACGCTATAACATTAAATGAGTAATTCTTGTGCATAAGTATTTATTTTGTGTATCTCGGAAACCGCTCTAACGATTTGGATCAAACTTTGTATTTAGATAAAATTTTGCTTTTTAAGTATATCTATATAGCCTCTTCTGGAAAAGCAAAGCTCGGTCCTCAAGTACTATCCGTATTATATACGAGTATGTAAAAATTTCCAACAACGCCAAAATTATAATTTGGGTTTTCCTTTTAACTATAGAGCTCTTTAGTATAGATGGATTGTGGGTGACAGTTTTTTTCACTCTCATTGAGGGCCGTTAATGTGGTTACTTATAACGGAACTGAGTATAAATGGGATTTTATCTCAGTGCTATTATTTCCTTTTCCCTTTGTTAGGGTCAAGCAATGAATGCACACCCTCGCCTTTATAGCCAAATTTTAAATCAGCGATAGCGAAAAATATAATCCGAGTTCATCTTAAATGGCCTTATCTTCTCTCTTATGTATGTTGTGGAAGAATTTATTTATTAAAATGTATGTATTGTAGACGGTCAGATAGCTGATAAGGAATGGACTGTAAAAGCTAGAAATAGAAAAAGTTGGGGCAAAATGGAGGAGGCCTTCACTCGTAGAGAGGTCCTTAATAATAATATCTGTTAATTTTGTGTTAAAAACAAACAAATCAATTTAAATAACTTTATTTATTGTGTGCATTATTTTATAAAAAAAAAATAAGTAGGTAAAGAATTAAAATAGTATTGCAAGTTTTGATTTAAAAAAGAATTAATAAATTGTGATTAATATCTATTTAATAAATAAGACAATTTGAGTTACACAAATGTAAATGTAAAAAAAAACTATTTCTTATTTGCACTATTTATAAATAATTAAAAATGTATTGCATGTTTGTTTGTTTTTCTTCTCCCTGCCCATTTCCCAATCACTTGTGGTCGGCGCAGTACATCTTGTGCACTGCTGATAGGATTTGGCAAAAGTTTTACGCCTGCCTGACGTCAACCCTCCTTGGGAGTGCTATTGTCTCTCTTTGTCTGGATGGTGTCGCGGAAGTCTTGTAATATGCACTTTTAATTTAGTTGTCTTTTAAAACATTTTTTATACTATTACTTAAATTTTTAATGCTATTTCCGGATATATTTTAAAATAAATTTTGATTACACAATAAATGTTGTTTTTTTTAATGAAATGATTAATTGTAATTAATATCTATTAACAAATTAGAGATTTTGAGTGACTATTAAAGTGCAATTTATTAAAAAATATATATTACTTGCACTATTTATAAAACTAAAAATATATTGCATCTTCTGATAAAAAATATATTTTCATGAATAAATATTTGTATTGTCATATTTATTAAGAAAATAAATAGTCTTTATTATTGTTATTATGCATTGTATATGCCATTAACCAATATAAGTTTTATAATATTTTTGACATAAATAAAAACTATAACTAACTATATAATTTATACATATATAAATCTTCTCTTAAGGGTGTTATCAATATTTACTTAATGTGATTTAAAAATCGGTTAATCTTTTTAAGTAAATGTAATTATTTACTACAAAATCATATTAAAAGTATATCATTCTTAAAAATCAATCACCGGAATTGGGAACCACGATTTTTTCTATCAAAAATCCGTAATATATGTCAGTCCCTACCTGGCGTTGACATTTTCCATAATAAAAAGGAAATCATTCATAAACTTTTTGTAAGTTTTCTAAGTTACTTTTATGTTTAGTTTTATATACCACATTTTTAAATATTACCTCTAATTTTCTGTTTTTTTTTTTTTTCAAGTATTTGTATTTCTTGTATTTCATTGTATTTCTCTGTACAAAATAAATAAATATTTACATACAGCCAGTATTCAATTAGAATCAGTTCGTATATCGTAAATGATAGTTCATTAATTTACAATTGTTCCTATCACGTAAATCCTAGAAGTGAACGTTTGGCAGTTTTATGATGACGTCGCAACGATTTATACTAGTATAATGCAGCGCGAAATCCACGCACTAAGGCCAGTTGAAGCAAACATTGTACAATTTTTATTTTTAGGAAATGTTTTACTATTGGTTATTTCGTATTTGCTATCAGTTTCTGCTTTTAAAGATGAAAGGAATAGGGATTTTAAATTACTTGTAAATAATATACCATTTGATTTCGGCGACCTAACTCTATTTTGCTCATATACATGCCTAGGTGCTTGACCGTGGCCTATGTACATATTACTGCATGTCATAGTATATATCTATCCAAATTTCATTCAATTCCGTCCAGCGGTTACAGTGTGAAGGAGTAACATACATACAAACTTTCGCATTTAGAATAGTAGACCGATTATTTGAAGTGACTTGTTCTGTATAACTTAAATCTTCTAGTAATCTAAATTGTATTCTCACCCGCCACACATTTATCCTGTGAGAAACTTGTAACACGTCGGCCGTGAAACGTGGGCGAAAAAATAAATCGTGAAATCTTCACTCACATTTAAGCTCATATTGCATATACGAATAAATTTTTATTACCGCAAATATATCTCCGCATTAAACTGCCGCTCGCGACGTCATAAATATTGCGACATTAGGATAGATTATCCCATATTTTGCCGTTTTGGTACAAAGCGTTGTTAAACTAACTTTTACAAACGGATTGTCCTGAGTTATGTGATGCAATAGAACTATGTTTGATTAGGGAACAAGAACTGGCGATGTAGGCTACGATGAAAGAAGTGGGTTTGATTTCCTTCAGAGGTAAATATTAACTTTTTATTTAATTACAACATACTTCATTTATTTCCTTCAGAGCTAATTGCTGAGTAAATTCTTTTATTGATTACAAGTGGCTTATCTTTCATTGTATAGGAACGAACATCTAGATAACGTTAACATAAGGTTCCTAAATAATCACTCTTTCTATTGGTGAAAACCGTATGAAAATCTATGCTGTAGTTTCAGAGATAAGCACGAACAAACCCAAACTCAATTTTAATGTATAATATGTAGTGGACTTTCATGTTTAGTCATCAAAACTGGACAGTCTAGTAACATAAAGATCGCAGGTTCGATTTTCCACGAGACAATATTGATTATACAAAATATATTAATAATATTGTTTAATCAAAGTCTATTGCAGCCAAACGAAATATTTAAATAATCTATCTATATTTTGTGACTCAGTTTTAGAAGTAAAGAAGTTAATGAGCTTGGTATTGTAAATATTTTACTTAATTAAGGTTTAGGCCATCATGGAGGATATCATCTAAAAATAACCTAAAATGTTACAAGAGCCATTGTTGAGTTTCTTACCAGCTTTTTTTTCGGAGAAACCATTCCAAGCCTTACACTGTAAATCAAAAGTTTTTGTGTGTAGGCATTCAGCTCTTTTTAACGTCCCACTGCTGGGTATGCGCCTCCCTTCAATACGACGGGGTCAGACCATAATTCATGGCCAATCCACGCTGGTCAAGTGTGGGTCGGTGAACTACAACGTTGCAAAGTTCTCTTCAACATGTAGATAGTAATGAGAGTTTATTTAAATAAAAAAATATATTAAGAAAGAGTAACTATGTTCGATCTCCCTCACGCGGGATTTTCTTTATGGACAAGAATGAGATAGGCGAGTCTTTTAAAGCATTTTCGAACCAAACGCTCTTTGGTTTACATAAAACATTTTTACAAAACAAACATTTGAAATATGAATATTTTTTAACTTCAGTTGATTGTGGAATAAAAACCCCACTGATTGCTCAAAGCGAGGTGCGATACAAACTGGGAAAGGGTTGATATTTTCCTCATATTTTTTCTAGGAAAAATGTACAACGATATCAACGTTGTATTATTTAGCAGTGTGTGGAAAATTTTACACCTTCGTTTTTGTGAGAGGTTTTTATTAGGAACACAGGTCGAAATTCGATCATAATTATTATAGAAAACTTGAGGAAAACATATTATTGTAAGATTAGAATTTACCTATTTATATAAAAAAACGTGTGTGTGTACTTATGTAGGCACGTAAGAAAAACTTCTTTGGTGTTACAGAACAAAAATAGCTAAACATTTCATCCCGTATGTCACAACTCTCTGTTTTTAAAAGGAATGCAGCTAACTTCATCATGTTGTTTTTTGGCTGTCGACGCATCGTAAAAATTTTACTCACGTTTACGTGCCAAAATAAGTATAACTTAACTAAAAAACTGTTTCTAACATTTTTTTTTGATAACACTAAAGCTTATCAATTGCTAGTTCAAATTCAAAATATTTTATTCAGCACTAAATTATTACATTTCTTTACTGAACGACATGAGTCTACTACCAGTCCGAAAAGAAGAAAACTGAGATCTGAGAAGAACTGGCGAAATAAAGTCTGCGGCGCCTATATTAAGCAAAATGTGAGAAAATCTGTTGAAAATGAGAAAAAAAGAAAAAAAGGGGGTCTGTTTTGTTTTTGCCTATTTACATATATGTATACAGATACTACAGTTTGCCGGCTGCTTCCCTTGTATCTCGCATGTTAAGTGGGACGAGTGTAATAAGTAGCCAAAGTTCTAATCAGTTTCTGTGAAAAATTTGTCTGTCGAAACATTTATTTTACGTTGAAAAAAGTTATTTAATGTAATTAGTAAATACTAAATTTTATTTAGATATTAAACACTTAGACATGCCTCTGGCATATTTCAAGTTCAGGCACGAACATCTAACTTCCATCTCCCGTGGTATTAATATTTGTTAGTTTCGATAGATATAGACTGAGAGATGAGTTATAGTTATAAAAAATGAAAAAGTAATATCAATATTATATACAATATATAATATTGAGGCAGTGGTAGCCCAGTGGTAACGCGCTCGCTTGGGAAACCGAGTGAAGCGAGTTCAAATCCCGGGTCTCGCACCTCTGATATTTTCATATGCGAATCATTTCCAACATGATTACTACTTGTCTTAACGGTGAAGGAAAACATCGTGAGGAAACCTGCATGTCTGAGAGAATCTAGCAAGTTTTCAAAAGACATGTGAAGTCCGTCAACCCGCACTTGGCCAGCGTGGTGGACTATGGCCTGATTCCCCTCGTACTGAAGGGAGGTCCGTGCCCAGCAGTGGGACATTAAAAAGGGCTTAATACAATACAATATATGAAAAAGTAATATACATATTATATAAAAACCGGATAAGTTAAAACATATTCGAAAACTTTAAAAGATATTATTAAGTTTCTAATTTAAACGTTGAAAAATATGTAAATAAATTATTCCCATAAGTAAATAAATTATACAGTTAAAGTAAAACTTTTTATTAAACGTAGGTACGCTCTTTGAGATATCATGTTTACACTTTATGAATTATGAATATATATACTCTTACTCTTAATTACCGGATTAAGTAGTATTTTCTTAGACTTATGCGAATATTTGACATTTTACATAAAACTATTTTTCGGACTTTTTCGCGGATTTATTTTGATTTTTGGTTCCCGACATTTCGAATGCTTTACAGCAATCATGGCCACGGGAGAGAGATGAAATAGAAGAAAATAAAATATTTATATTTTTTTATTCGTTTCTTTGATTCGCAATGTCTCGAATGCCATACCGTGTTATACAAGATTAAAGTGTTAAATGTCACATTTTTTGT